ATGCAAATAACTATTAAAAAACTGAGGAGATGCAACTACGGTCTTGATTTTACCTTTTTTGCCGTTTGCATCAGAGTTTCTGTACAATTTGAAACAAATTGGACTTTTTCGTGTACTGTAATCATACAGTCGATGATATCTGCGACAGTCAATGAAATAGACAAACTGAATGCCGTAACCGCATTGACATTTCCACCGCCGCGGCGACAGCACCAAAATAAAGCTTTACATTATATAGGTTCAGAAGATTGATTTTACGTTGGCCTTTGCTTCAACCAAATTGGCGGCTAAAAGGCGAAACTTCATGACCTAGGACTGCTCGCGTCCGCGATGCCGTCTGCGTCTAACTCGTGAACATGCTCTCTGGTCACTTTCTAGCCTTAATTAGATCACGGGGCCCCGCCTTCCAGCCACCGACCTAGTTGGAGCAAAGGATACCTACTTTCATGAGTTCTTACTTTTCTTTAGATATCGAAAAAAGCGTTTTTGTTAAAAAAAGAATGATAAACCGAAAACAAAGCGGCAAAGTGCACGAGAAGAGAAGAGGCTAAGTCTGCAGTTTTCGCGTCTCTCGTGGATGGCTTATCCACTCCTTACATTTATCGAGAAAATGCGAAAAACTCGAGCCATGTGTTATTAGATAAACAATATGACGGGACTAATGGATCTTCGGCTGAATCTAAACCTAACAAAAGAAGGCTTTACTCACCACAAATTGCTCCAAAACTCATCAGATTTAATCCACTATCTGTACAATAAATGCGTCAAAATGGGAAACAGAGTATTGTTGGGTTAATGCTGGACTTCTAGAGATTTGACAATTATGCGAGCTCTTTTGATAGCAATCATGTGCAGTACAGGCATCAAGTAAAGAAAGCGAGCTCGAAATATGGAAAGCAATGAAAAAGACGAACTTAGCTAGTGATAAAAAGAGTGATGATGCATGTATCTAGCTTTATAGCCGTTATGATTGATGATGGATTCAAACCTCTACAAGGGATGGATCGATCGTTATCCACCATCAATAGTTCCGATATATATTATCTTCTTCAGAATCTATGACGTAGCTTCAAATGTTTTACTGGCGTCGATCTTCATTGTCATAGAACAAAATCTATGCAAGCTTTAAAAAAAAAGCAACGGTAACTGTGCAACGGTAGCAGTTAGAAAGCGCTATCTCCAAAAAATCGCAAATACCTTGATCAAGATGTTCTAACAGTTGAACTGTGCAGAGATGAATAACAAGAAGTAGAGGATGCGATAAAGGTATTCTAAGTTGTATAGGCGGCGTTTATCAATGTGGCTAAGAATAATTTCTTGAAGATGCCTCAAAAGTATGAATAGACTATTTGCCTATTAGAGGATGCTCGTCGATGATTTCATATTTTTGCAACTTTCTTCTATTTGGCTGCTGAATACATGCCGAATAGACAACACTGTCTTAACTACTTTGACAGCCTTTGGCATCACCAGAAAAAGTATAACCCCAAAAACGGTCACTATGTCAGTTTACTTCAATATTAAGTGTAGAATAAGTGTAGAATGTATTAGGGTTGGTGCAAAAGTAATGCGCGTTTTGCGAGTGCTTACTTTGATGTGCTATAGCTTTTTAAAAAATCCACATTTTTCAATGCGGTAAAAACCAGCAGAGGCACCAAACCTTTCACAATACAGCGCATATCCGCCTATGCTCATACCACAAACGGGCACAAAAATATGGGTTGATAAGCAAAAAAAATTTTTTTGGAACCTCGTTTTTGACTGGTCATAACTCTCTTGAAAATTTGTTAGTATAAATGATGGGTATCCTGCCTTGTAGCCGCAAGCCAGTAGTACGAAAAAAAAGCTCAAAGGGGCTCAAGTAAAAAAGATTTGCGAAAAGAAAAAATTTAATATTTGAATTTGTTCGCTTTTTTCGACATTTTTTCGTAGGCCTCAAAATCCCGAAATATGGAAATTTTTGATTTTCTGCGTACTAAACTACTAAGCATTTCTGCAAAAACTGTCAACAGGAGGCCCACCCCTACGCTTACAGAAATGGGCAAAGCTTTAACGGTTGCCCTCTTCAAAGGAAATTTGAATGACCAAAACCACTACCCATGTTGAGGCGCCGAAATCTCCGTCTAGATAATTTTCAAGAAAATAGTAAAAAGTGCTTAATGTAGACATTCTGCTATATAGAGTGTCTTAATTTTCAAAAGCTTGAATTCTGGCAAAAAAAGTAAGTGCAATGAAATGCTAGTTCGAGTGCGGTTGTATGAAGCTTTATTAATTTTTGATGAATGAAGCTAGAATCTCCTTTCAATCACCGCTAAATAGTGCATAAAAGGAGCTTCTTGATAGTGCGCTAAGTTTTCTCCAAAGGAGAAAGATCAATCGAAATTATCCTGAAATAACTTTAGAAAAACACGTATTACTTTTGCACCAACCTAATAATTAAAGTAGATAGGAGTTCAAATATTGAAATTTCTCTACTTATCATCAAACATCCGCAACACGTTTAGATAGACCATGTTAAAGTTTAATTTTTGTTTGTGCAAACTTTGAAATGCAAGAAATAAGGAAGTTGACTAAATGCATCTTTTCCTTTCTCAGTGGAGTGCATGGACTGGGAGGGTGACTATAGGCATCAAATCTTGTTAAGATGGATGGATGAAAAGGACAGCGTATTTCAGCACGTCGTTAGACCGATCATGTATCAAAACCGAGAAACTTGCAAGGTTGAGTTACGCGTTGATTTCTTAAATCTTGTGCAGTTGTTTTCAACGTACAGTCGTTTTCAATACGTATTGGTTTTTTCTACCGTATGCCTTACAGCCTCACCATGACGTGGATTGGTGTGGATTGGTATGGATTGGTGCGGCGCCGCCGAGAAAAGTAACGCGGCGCAAACCCGAAGCTTGAGGCTGTAAGGCATACGGTAGAAAAAACCAATACGTATTGAAAACAACTGTATTGGTTCTTTCTACCGTATGCCTTCCAGCCTCAACATGACGTGGAATGGTGTGGATTGGTGTGGATTGGTAAGGATTCCTTCCAGCCTCAACATGACGTGGATTGGTGTGGATTGGTGTGGATTGGTATGGATTTCTTCCAGCCTCAACATGACGTGGAATGGTGTGGATTGGTGTGGATTGGTATGGATTCCTTCCAGCCTCAACATGACGTGGATTGGTGTGGATTGGTGTGGATTGGTATGGATTCCTTCCAGCCTCAACATGACGTGGATTGTTGTGGATTGGTGTGGATTGGTATGGATTGGTGAGGAGCCGCATCGCATCGCTTCGGGTTTGCGCCGCGTTGCTTTTCTCGGCGGCGCCGCACCAATCCACACCAATCCACACCAAGCCACGTCATGGTGAGGCTGGAAGGCATCGGTAGAAAAAACCAATACGTGTTGAAAACGACTGTACATACTGTTTTCCCCGTTGAGATAACGAATTATGAGCGGAATTGCAAACATCAGCTAGGGATCAACGAAAACGACAAATTTATCTTTAATACAGAGATGGATAGCTTCCGATTCAGCATATACGTATATATGTGATAGCATTTAACACAAAACTTTTCACAAAGTTGAAAGAATTCATTTTCTTATGCAGTCTGAGGCATCGGGTAGAGTTCACGCGATATCATCGTCGCTTTTCATCGCTACAAGACAAGTGTTACGAGTTCATTGCATGCTGATCGTCATGTATTTCGCTTGTGATAGTTAGTCACGATTAGTTGTATTGGGAAACTATCACAACCGAGATGCAGGAAGATCGGCATGCGATGGTATTGTTACAGTTGTCTTATCGCGATCATCCGGACGATGACATCGCGTAAACTCTGCCCGAGGCCTGACGGGTCGGGCATACTTTACGCGATTTCAGTCGCGACGCGATTTGGCAGTGCTCCAACTGTCCATAACTCACTGCAAGCACACTTCAAATATGTAAAAGAGATAGGGCATCTTATCAATTTTCGTAAGTTATTCACACTTTGCATGTACAATTTGCTAGTGTTGGATCTGAAGACTTCTGGCGAATTGCCAAATCGCGTGGTGTATACCCGGCCCTTATAGGCAGTGTCCCGGCAGATTTCGTATTCCCGTCTTTTTTTTTGACTTTTTCGACCCGTAGACCCCGAATTTGAGCTTTAAAACTGGTGAAAAGACTTTTTTCGGGGCGTTTACCCAATGTTTAGAAAGCAGCTCGAACGAGAATTTTAATGGAAAGTTGGGAGGTCCTGGCACGAAGACCCTGCTGCCTGTAATTTTTGCTTTGGATAGCATGCAAAATGCGAGAGAACGATCGTGGGGTCCCGGGTCGAATGGTAAGCAAAGTCGTCCAGCGCGCGCCGATTGAGGCTGCGTACATCAGCTAGCCGGACTGCGCCTGTAGGTCAGTGGGATGACCAGGAACCCCACCATGGCAATATCCCCCAGGGCGCGAATCTGCCGGGACACTGCTTTTATGGCTAGGTCCACATCCCTCACTGATATCGAAGCCTGAGCCCGTAGACCGATAATCATTGAATAGGCGCGGGAACAACACTTTGTCATAATATTACCACATCACAGATGGCTAAACTGGTACTTTGGTTGCTTTCATGAGATGAGAACAAAAAGAGCACTTTTTTTATCTATTGTCTTCCTTGCTGTCAATAACTCTTTTGGTGTGAGTGCGAACGAAAATAAGCTGAGCAAACCTTAGGCGAATGCCAAATCATCTTGAATCTAACGAATGAGATGTTATATTTCATGACAGCAGAGAAAATAAGACAATGAGAGAGAATAGCTTTCAATACAAAGTGGAGAAGAAATCTTATCTGATCCGTTAAAAAGAACAGCTTTTTGACATCAAGATCAAACAGTTGGACTAGCTTAGATGAGTGTTTGAACAACCTTTGAAGAATGATAGGTTCAACAGAATGGTCAAATACCAAAAAATTCTATTGTTCGAAATTATTTATAAAAATCTACCAAACAAAGGCAACACACATCTTCCTGCAAAGTCATGGCAATTGCTGCCATTTGCGTAGCAGTAAGTTTCTCGAATCAAGCCATTTTTTGAAGTCACACTACATTTGAAGTATTTTGAACAACAATTTCTTACACTATTTCAATGTCCATCCCTGCTTGCTACTGTATCTTTGAATTCAGGTCCTCAGCTTGTGCATTAGTGACTCGTTGGTGGTCTCCAGGGAGCTATTGCCATGGGAATTATGGACGACTCGTAAGACGACGGCATATCAGCCATATCAGCCACGAACGAAAGCTCCGAAAACGCTGAGACCACCCCATAACTGGGACTGGATGTTAACGGATGCTCCATCGGGACCACGTACCTTTGCCACCGTGAGACCACCGAGATACACTGCTTATGATGTGAAAACACCGGAGTGGACTACGAGATTACCTTGGACATATGCGCCAAGAACAACTGGTACGATGAGACCCCCGAGGTACACTACACCAGCTGAAGTGGAAACCACTCCGGAGCCAGAACCGGAGGGGCCGTTTGTGTCGGGATGCCAGGGGGGCCAGATCCCCGAGGAGTGGAGGGAGAAAATCCTTGCATTCTTCAACGAACATCGACAAGCTCTGGTCAGGGGTGAAATTGACAAAGAAGGTGGTGGGAAGCTTCCGAGAGGAAACGTAAACAAAATGCCGAAATTGGTTAGTGACCAGCATTTCACAGCGAGATGGTTCTAAAGCTTTGATAATTTCTGCCTTTTAGAAATGGGACTGCCAGCTGGAGAAAGAAGCTGAAAAAGCTATGGAAAATGGCACAGTCAAAGAAGACCACCCAACCTATGGTGTTCTTGCGGGCATTCAGTATGAATGACTCACAGATACAATCAAGTCCCATAAAACAAAAAAAACTTTTCAGAGGATTGTCTACATTCTATGTAATGCCCTATGAGTACGAAACGGACGTCGAGGAAGTGTTGCAAGGTTGGTGGGATGCAGCCGGAACGATGGGAAACAACAAAGAGTTAGATGATGAACATTTCAACAGGCCATTCCAAAACTTTGCAACTGTAAGAAATTGTTTATTTTACCTTCTTTTTACATATCCATGCACTCAAAAAGACAATTTAGATGGCTTACAACAAAGTCACAAAGATTGGATGCACATCCAGAAGATCACCAAGGCAATGTCTCGCCGTCAACGTATGCGTTCTGGATGCGTAAGTATACAATAATCATTCGCTAATATTTTATAACCTTTACCAATTTCAGGAAAATTCGTTTTTACCAGAAAATTTACGAGTGATTGCATGCAGCAAACGATAAAAGTTTTATCAGTAAAATCCTCGTACATAATCACTGTTCATCAAACTCAAAGACAACAAAATCGTGTTTAGATCCAACAATCTCATGCCATGAAAATTCATGGATAAATTAAAAGTGTCAAGAAAAGTTGACTATGCTTGACCTACATTATCTCTCTCGCTCCAACGTCTTCCATCAAAGTTTAAGTGACTAATAGAATCGGCTTACACTCAAATTCAAAGTATGGGGCTATTGATCGTTGTTTTTTATTGCTGATTATATATTACAGATAAATCTGCAGCTTTAGAATAAGACCTAAGGAATTTCAAAAAACACTGCAGCAAAGTGGTTTTGCATGCTGATTCTGACGGGTTTGTAACGCTTTTAGTTGGTATAATCATAACTTACATCGAAATAAAAATTGCTGCAGTATGGTTGCCATAGCTTGCGTACGAAGCATTAACGGGTGTAAGTCAATGTAAATTTATCATAAAAATTCATCGAATTCAATTAGTTCAGCTTAGAGAACTTACGGGAACTTCCTCAAGATAAGCGAAATTTGCAGTGGTTGCGCAGGTTTTGTTTGCTGTTACAAATGCGGAACGTTGAAAATGAGTACTTCTGCAGGATTTCACGTCATATTGTTTGAAAACAGAAACTTCCGCAGGACCTTTTACAAAACGCAGCGGAAATTCCGAAAAATAAAAGCGGTTCCACAGTACTTAATCCGCCAGTACTTCCGCAGGTTTCTCAATGTATCGTCTCTCACAACGTTGCCTCGCTAACAGCTAGAGTGCATTGTCGAACATGTCATCCGTAGTGCAGAAGATAGTGAGTATCGCAATCAAAAGAACAAAGTTCAAATCTCGCTTAGTGTACTCTTTTGCTGTTGCGGTTCTTGCGGTTAAGAATTCTTCGGGAATTCCGCAGCACTTCACTTGGAAACTTCCAGAGCGTTATGGAACTTCCTAGATGACATTTCCCAAACGTTTTGCGGAAGTTTTGGTCAATTGTACGGGAGTCTTATGATTTTCACGAGACTTAATTTTTTTAAGAGATGTGGCGTTCAATAGTTCATAACAACTTTGATTAGTTGCAAAAATTTCGAGTGAGAACCCGGGTCTGAGGCCCGTATGCATTGAATCCCTGCGCCGAGAGGAGCGGCGTTCCTGGTGACGTACGAGCTGCAGCGGAGTTTGATTGCAGTCCCTTGATAACGGAGCAACAGAAGCAACACGCCACGCTTCCCCCCCCCCCCCCCCGCAAGAATTCAATGGATACGAACCTGAGCTATGTTCTTGACACAGTGAAAAAGAGACATAGATTTGAGGTGCGTATGGTCTCGAAGAATATCATAAGCGATCGCGAGCGTCCCTGCGAAAGCTTTGATTAACGCTGGGTTCATACTTATCCGAAAGTTCCGGAACAGTTCCAGGACAGCTCGGCTCTTTAGGCTAAGTTCTACTAAAGACTAGTGGGTGATTCCTCAACAAGTCCTAGTAAGGCAAGAATAAGAAGTTGCACTGCCAAGGAGCAAGGGGGAAGCGATGTACACTGTTGGGAGCCCCTTCAAAGCTTTCCTTGTCATGATTGCAAAAATCTGCATCAAAGACCAAGAGCTATGGTCTAGCGGTAAGAATTGCAACAACTCACATTTTAGCCGATGCGTTTTTTCCTTAGTCAGTGTACATGATACCAATTCAGTCACGTCTCAAGCTGATCTCTAATGCACATGCAACGGCTTACAATTAGCTAATAGACTGAACGATCATAATGTTTTTTTCAGAATAGTCCGCAGGTAGTAAAAGAAGGGCGCTTCTGATGGTGCGGATTTTTCAATTCACCAATGTACATCGGACTTTTAGCGAGTATACTGATGCGCATTTCTTCTTCTGGAATGCAGCGATGCGCACAATTTGCCACAAAGTCCTTCAGCGGTTAGATTTTCATATGCAGTTTATATGCATTTAATTCCTACTCTAGGCTGCACGCAGTAACCCCAAAAATAGACAGCCTCTGACGAGAAACAACGAGCAAAAGCTCATTGTTTTTCGTTAAACCTCAAAGCTGAATCCACATCAAGTAATTTTCAAAAAGGCCACATTCAAAGGCCCCCCCCCCCCTCTCCCCGTCCTTCCAGTCAATATACTTTTGTTTCAAGCCTAAGAAGGATACAAAGCTGAATAAACAAACCTTCAGGCGTCAAGCTTGATGGAGATGATATCAGCAGGCTAAAGAAGATTCTCGAAACTTTTCTATTCTAGTCGAAAGTAAGAAGTGCTGAGGTTTGACAAAGAAGAATCCCACTTGATGGGAAGTCCAGGAAATGCGAAAAATCTTACTAATACTACGCAAACCATATCACGGCAAGCTTAGAGGCACCGTCCACCCAAATTCTCGAGTTCAATGTTTTTGCCGCCTATGAGCCTTCCGAAGGCCCTGATTCCGAATATGGAGTCGACAATCCGCGAAACCCCCAAAAATCCCTGTTTCGAGAGCCCTTTACAACAAGCGCAGGCGAGATAAAGCATGGTCGCCCCGCCTACTTTGCTACTTCCGGAGCGGATTTCTCGCTCCAGAAGCAGTCTTTTGCGGCAAAGCTTGTGGGTTTGTCTAGTGTGGGGGGTCCACACTAGTATGCCATCATACTCTCACCAACCTCCATTTTGGGTGGACGATGCCTTTAAGTTGGAAAATAAAGGTTGAGTAATTGATATAGAAAAGCAGAAAACAACGCCGATGTGATAGAGCCACCTAATTCTTGATCATTCTGCAGCAGACATAGATGACACTGAGTGATGACAGCTTAGTCTTAACGGTTTCTCATGATGTATCGTCGAGTCATTCGTAACTTAATATGTGAGACTGCACACAAAGCCTTTCAACGTACGGCACCCTTAACATTAACTTCTCGATCAAATCTTTTCTAACGTAACAAACGTAAAATTGTAAACTACTAACCAACCAATATCCTATTAAACTAAAAGAAGCAAGAAACAAGGTGAAATCGCTGAAACGAGCAGCTTCCAATCTTATAAGTTCGTCAAATAGGGCGTATGGTGCAATACGTATACTAAGTTACAAATGACTCGAGCATACCTCCTACTGATTTTTGAGCGTATTCACCGTTTCAACAGCAAGAGACATCAATTCAAGCTAAAGGGCTGACTTCCGAAGATCTGGCTCTATTGAAAAGAAATGCAAATTTGGACTTCAACTGACTAATCCTTGTCAGTTCATTTTCACAGCTTTTCTGTTACAGGGTTAATTTAAGATCTGAAGAAGATATCAAGAAGGCTATTAGTCGAATTAAAAAAATAGCCCTCATTTAAAAAGTGGCCAAAACTTAGGGGATACTTCCCTTTGTCACGCCAAATCACTCAATCACCGCATCCATGGGATTGCATGAGGTGGTAGAGCTCTTCGAGAGCTACAACTCACATATTGCGTTTGGAAAACATGTTTTTAGAAAATTTAAAAAAAATAAATAAGTAAGTATCTTAAGTAAATATCTTTTTCTAAAGAAAGTCCGAAAATGGCCGCGTCATAATGTCGCGGACAATAATTCTTGACAATTCGAACGCGAAAAATTTCTTTTAGATCTTCTTTTGGAGCAAAACAGAAATTTTCCGAAAGGTAAGCATGCTATATCATAGAGCTCATCGAGGGCAACACAATCAGGTAATTGTTACTTCCAAAAAACGCAAGTTTGAATTTAGTTTTGCTTTCTTCAAAAAATAGCTACTATTTTTCCTTTCTAAAGCAAATTTCTTCACATGGAAACTTATTCAAGGCATCCCAACAAGGCTTTTCGGATAAAGTAGATACTCTTTGCCATTATCCATGCATCGGACTTGTGCTGGTGAGTTTCTTGGCTGAAAATGACTCCTGACAATACGTGCACATGACCCTATCTGCGCCTCACCACTGACTTGTATCGCTTCGCAGGCTTGTAGCTCAGCCAGCAGTCACTCTACGAGCCTGCTGGTAGGCCCATTCGAAAGGGCTGACCTTCTCGACACGGATATGCAAATAAGTTTAATCTGAGCCATCCCAGAAATTTGGCGGATGGGGTGGAAGAGGGCAGCTTCAGTTGTAGGCTAAGCACTTTTCAGCTGAAGTTGAAGAGAGCTCGTTTCGCTACGAAATTCATCCTGGAAGTTCAAAACTGTCAATTTTATTGTAATAGATCCATTAGCTCTAAGACTGTGGTGTTCATAAGAGCCTGCACTCCAATCACCTCCAAGGCTGCCCTCTTCCACCCCATCCGCCAAATCTCTGGGATGGCTCAGACTGAACTCATTTGCATACCATCGTGTCGAGGAAGTCACGCCCTTTCGAATGAGCTTAAGCATAGACTCGTAGATTGCCTGAAGGCTGAGCTACAAGCCTGCGAAACGGTACGAGTCAGTGGTGAGGCGCAGTTAGGGTCATGTGCACGCATTGTCAGGAGTCCTTCTCAGCCAAGAAACTCACCTGCAAAAGTCCGATGCATGAAGAATGGTAAAGAACATCTACTTTACCCGAAAAGCTTTGTTGGGATGCCTCCAGTAGGTTTCCATGTGAAGAAATTTGCTTTGAAAGAGAAAAATAGAAGTTATTTTTTGAAGAAAGCAAAACAAAATTCAAACTTCCGTTTTTTGGAAGTAACCACTACCTGTTTATTGTCCTCGATGAGCTCTATAAGATAGTATGCTTATCCGAGAAAACTTCTGTTTCTGCTTCAAGCAAAGACCTAAAGGAACACTTTCGCAGAATTATTGTTCGCGACATTGTGACGCGGCCATTTTCGGACTTTCTTTAGAAAAAGATTTTTAAAATTTTCTAAAAACGTTTTCCATAAAGCGAAATATGTGAGTTATAGCTCGTAAAGAGCTCTACCACCTCATGCAATACCATCTTTTTTGATCTTTGTTTCCCATTCGAAAATGAACCTGAAAAAGGAGAGCAACTTGTATGCAACTTTTTGGCGGTCACTGTATATATTAGGTGGATGCAAAA